CTCTCTTCGACAATCGAGGGCAAGAAAAATGAAGATTGGGTAAGTACTTTATTTCTTGTTTTTCATATTTATTATTATAAATGTAACTAAAATTATAAGTACGGATCTTTTTTAAGTTATTTGAGACTATATTAGGTAAAATAAGTAATAACAATAATAATAATAATATAATTAAAATGGTTCACGAGGCACACAGGCGAGCAGCTCGTGGGTAATGTAATTTGAGCTGCATGTTCCCCGAGTGATTTACAACTTATAATGGTGGGGATAGCAGTTAGACACGGTTCAAAGGGCAATAAAACAATAAAATTTAATTATAAATAGATGTATATTGTTACGAAATAAAAGCTACTTAGGATAAAGGAATGTAGTTTCAGGTTACAATTTGAAGTCACTCTAGAAAGAAAAGAAGGGTAATTTAGGTTTATTTAGATTTTTTTTTTTGGTGGTCGAATTGACCGATCTCGTTTTGAGATAGGGTAGAGAAAATAATAAAAACAACAAGGAATTAGTGAAAAAGTGTTTGAAATGCATTTAGGAGGTTTCAGGGATTACACAAAGGAAATTTGAGATTTTTGAGACGACGAAAAGTATTTTTAATTTTAACATAAAAATTACTTAGCACACAGACTATTCAAAACAAATACCCAATATATTCATGGACAAAAATTTATTTTATTTTATTAGAAATACTTCACTAAAAAATATGATTTTTTGTATGTGAAAGACTTGTAATATTAACTGAAAGACTGCCAAATTTCATGAAGATATACCCAATATATAGAGTTATAAGTATTAAATTTATGTCAACTTTAAATGAGTACAGAAGGTCACGTGACTTTGTAAAATTGACCAACCCTGTGTCGAAAGATTTAATGTAACAAACTTACATGCTTCTGTGCAGAATTGAGAGACTGGAGGAATTGTGGCGAATCCATTGACCCCATATGGAAAGAATTAATGAAATGAAATTTATATATTTTTTAAATTGATATCTTTTAATAACAAGGATAGATATATAAAACATCACAAGTATATTTCTAGTAAAGAATTCTGAGTTGAATAAAGTATTTTGATATTCTGTTACATTAATAAATTTTATTCATAATAACCGATGAAATGTAGGATGTGACTTTGTTCCATCGCCGCCACCTCCGTCACCTCCTCCTCCACAAACTGAGATTTCAACCCCAAGAAGACTGCGACAGAGAAAGACAGTTATAAACCCTATACTGAGTACACCACAACCGGTAAGTGGTTGTTAGATATACACGACTGTTTAAGTTTATGCGAGTGTTATGATTTAGATAGTTTATTTAGATAGTATATATAGTACAAGTGTTAAATTTAATTAATTTTAGAAGCGATAATTTATTGCAGGTTTGTTTCGTAATTGTTTACTAATCATATGTTGTGTAGTTCAACAGTTATAAATTGATGATTGTTGTATTATTGCATCATGTTTCTAGAACTTTCTGAATTTTTGCATTGTTTTAATTGAGTAGTATTGCATCATAATATGTAGTAGTATGTGGTACGTTCTTGACCTTTGCTGAGGTATAATTCCAAAAAATACCTTCTTTCACACTACAGCTATTACTCAACTGCCAAGGTTTCTTCCTTTGCCCATCTAAACATTGGTCTGATTTTTTTTTGCTTCCTCCAGTCTTTTATATGCCACTTAATTATCCTTGGTGATACTTGTCTCGTGACATTCTCCACCTACTTCAATGTGTCCTCTGTCCTGGTACTGTATATAAGTACCTCATTCAGATAATGTTATTACTTTTTCTCGACAAAGCATCACTAATGGGTTTCCCAGTACTACAATTGTTTGGAGACACTGAACATTCTCCATGTTACATAATTGATTTTCATATTTAAAAACAAAATTGTCCAATTAGCAATCTAATATATGGTATGAATTCCTGGATTATTATTTCTTCTCTCCTATCCCATCTCTCATATCTAGCATCACATAATAATCAGAGTGTTAGTCACTCTCAGTTGAGACTGTCGGTGATCTTATTTGTAGTGAGATGGAGACATATATTAGGTTCTGTGGTGTTCCTCCGGGGGTGTTTAAGGCTGCAACTGAGGGCAATCCTCGACATTCTGAAGAGAATTTAGATTCACTTTTTCCTCTGCCTTCTTTTTGTCTGTTGGCTTTTTAGTTCCCCCTGTGGGACAAGTGGTGAGTTTATAGACATGTATTGCTGGAATCCTGGGTTTGATTCCCTATATTGAACACAATAGATAGCCCAACATTGCTTTGCTCCAACAAAACAAACTTATCTGACCAAATGTGGTTCTGATCAATGGTAATCAACACATGACATATAAAAACAAAAAGAAGGCCACTTTGGGATAAGCTGCCTTTCACTTCTTTTCTTTTGTTGATTCATTGAGAGAGTGATGATTTGGGTCTTTCCCCGATTGCTTTTGAGCCTGCACCTTACTTGATGGCTGAAAGGTCTGGAAGCAAATATTTAGTTTTCTCTCCATCTACGGACATTGTGGTTCATACTTCTCAGTTACGTGAAGGGACAGTTATGCCTTATCTGCCAGGTGGAAGAACTTTCCAAATTTTGAATTTCAGGGTTCTAAGTCAGATTTGTAGTTAACCTGAATAGATTAATGTTCCCTGATGGGTCAGGATAAGTCTACGAACTTACAACTCTAAAATCCAACATTTTGGTTTCCTTTCACTTCACTTTGTTGTAAGACTCTCAGGATCACCATCTTCATTGGTGATGAGATGGAACCAATGTTAGCATGTACATTGGTTCAGTTGTCAGCTTCTACATTCATCCTTCTTGTCATTGGCATCATAGTTCTGCCCCTATTCGTAGGTCCTGACCCCCGACGTCAGCCCCTAAGTACATTGGTACCCAGAATAGATTCTATCTTATCCAAGGGTTCTGCTGTTTGGTCTGATCACTGCCAGAGGTGTCGGTTATTACTGTACACCTTCGAGGTCTGTGGGGCTTGGCTCAGAGAATTTCTGGATGTGTGGTAACCTTAACCACAGATCCTGAAGCACTACAGGTCCTTGAGTCAGTATTAATCATTCCTTTCACATCTTCACCACCATTATCCATGCAACGTGTAGTGTTTCTGTCTCCTGTGGGTCCTCGGATTTCAGAACTTAGTTTTAGGGCTATAAAAGTTTGGTTGATCTGGGGTAGGGAGAGAATTGTGCCAGTTATTCAGGGTTTTATTCCCATCAATTTGTTGGGCCTAAGAAGACAGGAGACTGGTGTACAGTCATTGATCTTTCTCATCTATATCAAGTCCTAGATTCTCCAAGGTTCACAAGTTACTCATTCTGCAATCTGAGTTGACATTTTTTACTGGGAATGTAAATGTCCAAGTTTGTTGTAGTCGGCTCCTATCCATACATTGCCATAGCTGTGGCGTCGCACCACTGTTGACATTTTTTATTCACAAGGAGGAGGCACTTGGTCCAGGGCTCCTTATTTTCGATTCTTGAACCTCCTTTCTCGGGACCACTCCTATCATACCATACTAGCTTGCCATGTTCCACTAGTGATGCCTTCAGTCACAGATCAGTTGTCTCAACCTAAACAGATTCTCCCAACAGAATAGATGCTGCATCGCAAGGTTCTATGGGATTGACTCTTATTTTGCAACTCTGATCGGTGGGTTGGTCTCCCATTAGAACACCTAACTACTGGCAATTTGGTCTCCAGTACCTCACATTTGGGCTTTAGCGATGGATGCATTCCATCAGCACAGGACAGGATTACAACTCCAGGCCTTCCCTCCAATTCATATGTTACCCATGGTACTAAATATGAATTGTTCCAATCCATTGTGAGGTCCTGTTGATAGCACCAGATTGGCAGCTACACCCTAGTTTCTGCTTCTGCAGTGCCTTCTGGAGTGTACACCTTTTCCACTTCATTTTAGGCCATCTCTGTGATCTGACATAGTACACTTGGCTATTTAGAAGCTCAAGCTTCTGGCATAGAGCTTATGCAGTCTTTTGCACAGCATTGAGGTTTAATTTCTAAGGTTGCCATATATCTATCTCAAACTTTGCTTAGTCCATTAACATTTATCAACAGAAATGACACGGATATCAGCAATGGTGTTTTGAGAAGAGATTGAACCCACTTCAGTCGTAAGTGCCAACCATAACTCGTATATGTACAGAAGCTGATTTCAAAAATATTTATGAAACAACTGTTATATTTAAGGTAGTTGGTTCAAAATATATCCATGGGTAAAATATGATACAAAAAGAATGTGTTTTTATCCAAGTCCTTTACGAAGGTAAAGTTTTTCATTTATAAACTTTTATCTTTATTTTCTAAGAAAACCACTTTATTTCATTAAGTTTTTTTTTGCAATTTGAAACAATAATGTCTGCAAAATAATATAAAATCATTTTCTAAATTCACTGTATTGTCCTTTTTTTATTTTACCTTATTTTTTTTCTAATTTATGTTTTGAATGCCAATCATGAGTTCTGGTCTGAGCAGGATTTTTGTGCCCAAGCTCATATGTTATGCTTTCTCCTGTGTCTTTATAAATTAACTACTGCCAAAATCCCTTGCTATCTTGCACGTATCAACAAAAGTCGTTCTGATTCAAAACTTTACAAAAAATTGTTGACGTTTCGTTCTCTAATCAGCCTTTTGCTTCTTTCCAAAGTTTGACTAAGATTTTCCCAAAGGTTTTATGCATGCCCAATTTACTAAAGGCATTCTGAGCAAGTGCAGAATACCATTATGGGCAGTAATATATAATATATATATATATTTGACAGCATGTTTAAAATGTACACAGGTGTGTAAAATACAACCTTTTACAGAGTAACGTTCAAAATTTAAGTATACTTCATTATCAATCTATGTCAATAAACTTGACATCAAAACTAGCTTATAAGTTTTAATTTCTTTATTTCAAAAGGAAATGTTTAAATAAGTTCTCTTCTGTGTATTGTGTGATGCTTCTCTCCATATTTACCACTTTAGATTTTATCTCTACCTCTATAATATTATGAGTTTGGCACAAAGTACACATACTTATAATTAGTATGGATATTGCTAAGCTGTATTGTAAATTTATAGCCTGCAAGATACACTTTGTAAATCACATGATATTATGTTCATTTTGAGCTGTAAGAGTCAATTTGCCATCAGAAATCAATGGATTTGTGCAGAAGTCATTGAATGGAGAAGTAATGACATTTTTTAACCTAGATTTGCTAGAAAGCCAAATAAATTACAGTAGTTTTCATACAGTCTAACTTAGTGAGAGATATGTTTTTGATTTTCTAAAATTCATTTTTCAAAGAAACATGAATTTATTTTTTGGACAACAAATATAGTAGGAGAAAACAGGGTTTATTATGAAAACAAGCACTTATAGTTAGACGTCATGTGATTTAACGTAAAACTTTGTTTTCCCTAAACTCATACTCTTATTGTTAGATTTATTGCTTGTCTTGGTTCTTAGACATGGTTCAAAGAGCAATAAAACAAATTAAATGAAAGCAGTTGTGAAAAGTTAAGAAGCTTAAAGTTCTTAAGATAAATAATAGTAATTGTCTGTTACAATCTGTAAGCAACTTGAATTTTTGCTGCTGGTGAAAGCAAAAATGGGAGTTGTAACTTTGAAGACAAAGTTTAAAGGCTCTTTGTCTGGTCACATGACATAATTAATTTTTATCTTGAAATGTGCAACATACTTTTAATTGACAGCTTAGGGATTTCTTTCCCTATTTTTCAAATTAATTCAGTTGATTTTGTGTCTTTAGTTTATTTGTTCTTAACAAAAAATTGTTTTGCTTTGTCAATTTTAATTTATTGAATAAGCATTTTAAAGCTGTAGCTGATATTTTTAAAGTAAGAAATGGGGGGAAAATTGTTTTTATCTGCATTTCATTGTGTGTGTTATTGATATAATGTTTTGTACAGCTGCTTATTAATTTTTATAAAGTATAATAAAACATTAGTTATTTAATTTTAGTGGAATTCACATTTTGTTAAAATTAGTAAATTAGGTCCTGAAAAAAGACCTGGAAGTTTTTTTTTTTTTCATCTTAGCATGGGAAACCATGTAACAACCATGGAGGGCATACAATTGGGAAATTTCATCTGTTTGAGTTGTTCTACAATCAGCTATCTAAAATGCTATGAAAAAATCTATACTAGTTTCATTTTTTACTTTTTCACCTATATTTCAATGCATGTGTTATTTTGTGCTGCTGTTATTGAATTTTATTTTAAAATATAATAAAACATTGGTTATTTAATTTTGGTGGAATTAACATTTTGTTAAATTTGGTAGATTAGGTCTTTGAAGATGACAATTTGGTCCAAGAAAAGGTCCTGGATTTTGTTGTTTTTTCCATTATTCTGTGCAAACAACTAACACTTCACATTCTCAAGCATCTGGCTTATTATTCTTGTCTCTTTTGCTTGCAACCAGATGATTAGATTATAAATCAACATGGGATGATTGTAGGATGTTGACAAAAAATATGACCGTAATTATCATGACAAAGGTCTTAGTTCTATCCAATGTCAATCATTATGTCTTACTATGAAAATAATGTTACAATTAATTCTAAGGAGGTATGTACTAGCTTGCTTGTGGGCAATGGCAGAGTAGGAGATAGCTTGTTATGAAGTACAGTGGAATCTTTGGTCCTGTAACCAAATACTGTAGATGTGAAGGTGTGGCAAAAACCTTAACAAACCAGCAGAAAGGAGCCATGGCAAAGGGCAAGCCACCCCTTTAGCAGCGAGATTTTACTACAGGAACCAACACAAGACATTGACGATGAAACTTTTTGAATCAGTTGCCAGGAAGCTATTTGTGTTCATTCAAAGATGTGTTAAGGTAATCCTTAGAGTATGAGGTGCACAAAGAAGTGAGAAGAAAGACAGGGCAGGAAGACAACATTGTATAGATCACTAGGAGGCCAGGAAGCTATTTGTGTTCATTCAAAGATGTGTTAAGGTAATCCTTAGAGTATGAGGCGCATAAAGAAGTGAGAAGAAAGACAGGGCAGGAAGACATCATTCTATAGATCACTAGGAGGAAATAGATGTTTACAGGCAAGATGTTAAGGAAAGAACAGGACATCATCACAAAAGAAGCTGTTTTGGACTCAAGTAATGACTCAAGACAGAGTGCACTGTCAAGAACTTGTGGAGAATTTATTCTCCACTTAGTGCAAAGAAGATTAAGAAGGTGTACTGGCATCATGCATAAACAAGCTTAAGATTTAGTTGAACTAAACACAGAGGGAAAGGTACATAAAATATGAACATAATAACAAAAAATGTAGGAATACCACCATTTCACTACAGTTGTTGTGCAGCAGTATTAGAAGTGTTCTGTTGTACCTTGTACATTTCAGGATTTGAAAATATAATTTAACCTATTTCAATATCATTTTTGCTATGAAATAGTGTAGAAATGGTGCTGTAATATTATATAATAGTATGTTAATTTTCTATGCAAGAATTTGCAAAGTCTAAATGTTTGGTTTAATAGTGGCTATAGGCATTTTCTCTCTCGTTTTATCTTATGATTACTTGTTTGTTCCAACCAATAAATTGTATAGTATTAAAAATACAATATTTCTCAAATCTCTAGATATGTTACAAACTGAGCTATTGATTGTTTGGGTGAGTTTGCATGTATAGTACCAGTGTGTGTATTTTGGCTTTAAGGATACAACCTCCAGTTAGGGACTGTTGTATAGGGAAGGAGCTGAGCTTCAAAACCTTGTAAACAACTTGTCAGTCATTCCTTACGATGATTTTTGTCTTTTTTATGTTTTGACTAAAAAGTACAGTAATGCTATTTTGCAATAAAGTTAGAAAAATGGCTTTTACTCTCCAGTTAATAAAAACTATTTCTGCCAATGTTTCACCAGTGCAGCTTCAACAGGGATAATAGTACAAGAGCGCTTGAATTAGAATAAATTCTTAACCTGTAGGCTACAGGAAATAAGATCCATCAATTAAAAATAATTTATTGTGGGATGTAAATTTTAACATTGGAATTTACAGTTATTCTCCAAATATAAGTATAGTCTATGTCAGTCGTTTTCAAACTGTGTTCCATGGAACCCAGGATTCCGTGAAGGGTAATCACAGGTTCCCCGCAAAGATAATGGGTAGTGGCAGGTTTTTTTTGTTTTTTTCTTCCAATTATTCAGTTATTAGAGACCAAATGTATTTTTAAAAATGAGTCAGTTGACAGTCATTCTTACCCACACAGTTATGTACACAAGCAAACAAAATAAGAAATATTTGTACTTATGTAAATTTTAAGGGTGTTAATGGCTAGGATTCCTGGCTTTGTACAGTTTGGAAACTACTGGCCTGTGTATACAAACTGTGGGGCCCATTGTTATGTAGAGATGAAGCAAGTCAAGTACAAAGTCATTGATGTTAAACCAACAGTGTTATTACAGTGAAGAAGCATGTTAGAAATGCCCACAATAAGTGTATAAGCTCACCATGGGCCTTCAAAACATTAAGTCACTACAACTAGGTTGAGAAAGCACTGTTAAGACTTTTTGTGGCAGCTGAAAAACATCGTTTGATTATGACATTGTTGAACTACCAGAACTTTTGCTTTGATTCTGTCAAACTAATTCATGTATGATCCAACGTATACAGTTCAAGTTTTGGAGAAAGGTAAGCAAACTGAAGCAATGTTGATCATGAAAGGAGCTGAGCATATTCCCATATTGGTTCAAGTAGTTGTTTCATGTAATTTGACTAAATACAAATTATGGAATAGGGAAGCTTTGTAGAAGTCAACTAGTATCACTTTGTGCTTGACCTAGTGGAAATTACAAAATTGGAAGTCATCCAGCAAGTATTTGAGAACAAAGACACTACATCACAATTTAGCAAAACGCTATACTTGTTGTTGTGTACTATAATCTATGTCCTCCATGTTGAGGACCTAAACAAAAAAAAAAAGACAATAGCACAGATTGAGAACGAAGAGTGAAATTTAAAAAAAAAGAAAGTTTATAAGAGTATTATCTCCGCATATTGTCAGACAAATATTCATGATTTTGGTTTACCCAAACTTTTATCAAAACTAAAAACAATTAAAGACAAAACAGTCAAGTTTAATCTTAGTTAGATAATGAATAGAAGCCAAGATTTTGTAAAATCAAGTTCAGTGTATAGACAGTAAGAAAGGAACAAAGTAAATTAAAAAATTTACTTTCAAGTGTAGACAGAAAACTAATGCAAAGGATACTAAATTTATTTTGTCAGAAGTACATTTTACAATTTAAGTATATTAATCAATCTCTAATCGAGCTTTAAGTGATTTTGGTCAGTGGTTTTACATACTTTTCAAGTGTTTTAATAGGTGCGCATCACATTTAAAAAATTATTCACTTCTAGTACTGGACTTTGAAAAAATTATATATTTCTAGGCAGTAGATCCTTGGAAACCTCTTGATCCACATGAAGAAACTCCTAATCTCAAGAAACCTATGAAAAGGGGGAAAACCAGTAGAATCCCCAAAAAGGTTGAACAGAAAAAGCAAGACAACAAGAGAAAAAGGAAGAGAGATGAAGTAAAAAACAAAGATTGTAATTTTACTGAAACCTACAAAATTTTGGGATGATACACATACCATATTAAAAGTTATAGTATGGAAACAATGATGGTTATTTTGTGGCTACAAAGTCAATGTTCTTTAGGTCTTCCAAGAAGTGCAGAATATAATGTAAATTACTCATTATAATTTAGATATTACTAAGGTGAATCCTAATTTTTATAGTCTTCAATCTTATTTGTTTATAGTCATAAGCTAGAAAATCAGACCCACTTACCACACCCACCTCTCACATCCTTTCTTTCAAATATTGCAATAGTGTTTGCTGATGTTTTATAATATATTATTTATAACTGATAGAAAGCCAATGTTTTAATCTATCAAATGATGTGTTATAGTACATCATTTTCTGTACAGAGCATTGTCTATTTTGCCTTCAGTTTGAAACTTTTCTCACAGTATTCACATTGACAAGCTTAGCTGAATATGTAAAGGCTTTATTGCATAGTTAGAAAGCCAGAAATATAATGATAGTTATAGGGCATTGTTTGCTTTCTGGATGTTCTCATTCTGTGTTCTTAGGTGTATTATTTAGTTAGATAAAAATTATTTATCATAGTAGTAACATTAGGATAAAGGAGGCTTAAGTTTCACAGACAATTGATAGTAAAAAAATAAGAGGACCTAGGTAAGTACTATACTTCTCGTTTTTCACGTGTATTCTTATTAAGTTAGATAGGGTTGAGTAAGATAATGAAAAAATATAATAATAAATCTTTACTGGGTATGCTCGTGAGCACCTTGTGTGTAATGTAATTTGATACAGTAACTTGAGCTATTACGAGTTTTAAGCTATTTAGGATAAACAATTCTGGTTTTCATTTACAATCTGCAGTCATTCTAGAAATAAAAAAGGATAATTGAGGTTAATTTCTTCTTATTTTATGGTAGTTACAAAATCAGTCAATTTGAGCAAGTCTATATAGAGTTAGGGTAGAGAAAATAACAAAATATAAACTTGTACTGAAAACTGAAACATTTGATATTTATTTAGGAGGTTTTTAGAGAATATGCAAATGAAAGTTGAAAATCGCTTCTGCAGTTGGAGCAGTCAACACTCCAACTCCATATATTCAGAAACAAATCTTTAATAAAAATACTTGATTAAAAAATTTGATTTTTTTATGTACAAAAGACGTTATTTAAATATTTCCTTATAAAATTAAGAAATTAAAACATACAATAGTAAAATTTGATTTATTAACTATCTTTTCATGCCAAGCTTATTAATATACATTGGTAACAAAATAGTAATTAAATTTTGAATGTAACTCTATAAAAGGTCGTGACACACGGACTTTGGCTAGCTCATAGCAAAAGGGTTAATAGCAAAAAAACATAAACAAATTAATCTAGACACATGCATACTTGAACCTTAGCAAGAGGATTACTAATTATTTCATTAATGTTCTTTTTATACTGTGTTGTTAAAGAATTGAAGAACAATCCTTAATTTGTAAATTTTAGAATACGTTGTAAAATTAAGCATAGTTTAAGTTGAATCATATTAATGTATTTTGTTGAATATATTTTGTATCTTGTGGAAGTTGAGAATTGCTATGTTTGTACTGTTTTCAGTCGTAAAGGTGAAGTTCTTGGTAACAAGCACGACTTTAGAGTCAACATGTGCAATCTACATCGATCTGGGGCCTTACTGCTGTATAGTACAAGTTTTACTGATAATATTGACAAGGAACCAACAACTGTTATACTTCATACTTCAAGAACTGGTCTACAGGAGGAAAGTCACAAGGAAGGAGAAATGATGACAGTAGAGAAAGATGCTTTTAAAGAATTAGGTAGGAATAAATATTTCAAAATAATGAAGTTAAAAAAAAAGATAAACTAAGTTATCATAAGAATTTGAATAACTTTTCTGATAAATTTAAAAACATTGATAAATAATAAATTAAGCTTTGCAGTTGAATTGGCAGAAACACTGCCCAATGGCCAAATTTCACTTTATGCTTTCCATCTTTAGTTTTCTGTCAACTTTTTTCTGCTTCTAATAGTTTGTGCTTTGTATCCTTAATTTTCTGTTAACTTGTTCTGGTTCCAACAGTTTCATAAGAATTTAACATTTTATGTGACATATTATCAAAAGTTTTCTGAAAGCCAGAATTCATATACTAATAAGAGGTGCCTGCATTCAAAAAAATTGCCCATTAAAGAAAAATCAAAGTCAACAAGCTAGTTAGGCATGAGAAGTGTCTTTATAATACCAAAATATGTTTTTAACTGTGTGATGCTATTTAATATGGTAAATATTGAAAACAAGTGAAAATTAATACCGGTTGAAGTCAGAACTCTGTGGTCGTGTGTCTTTATCAGCCAACCTTTCATATTTCACATATCTGAAATCTGTCATAATGTAAATGAAAACTGAAGCTTATAATGTACTTTTACCATAATAGTAAAAAAATCCTCTTCTAAGAAGGGTTCACATAGTTTGTTATATATATGTATATCATGCTAAAGGTTTTAATAAGATATTGTAATCTTCATCTTGCAAAAGTTTGATTTTTGGTATTTAATATTATGCCTCCAAATTTTTGGTTATACTGTGATTCATAACTTTTTGACTTGATATTTTCTGTTTATTTAACTCTTTATACAGGATTGGTCATTTTGGCCAACCTTGCAACCACCAGATAACCATGAAAGCATACACACTATAACTTTTAGTATAGTAAGTGTATCTTCATGAAATTTGCCAAGCTTTTACTAAACATTGAGTGTTTTGTACATAAAAATAAGATTTTCCAATTTAATATTGTTACTACAGATTTGTCTGTGAATTTACTCAGACTCTGACAAGGCCTGAGTGCAAGATGATTTTCATGTTAAGATTATAAATACTTTTTCACATCTGAAAATTTTCAGATTTCATGTGCATGATTTCTAAAACTTCCTAAATAAATATTAATTTTTTTTTTCATTAAACCGTGTTTTATCTGTTATTTTCTCTACTGTACCACTATATGAATTTGGATAATTTGACTGACTACGTAACCATCATAAGAAAATACAAAATAAATCTATTATTGGAAATTTATTTTGGAAACTAGGAAAATAGAACTTATATAATATTAAAACTCAATTTATTAACTATGTCTTAATGGCAAATTTATTCATATATATTGAAAATAATAGTGTAATTAAAGTTTAAATGTAACTGTTAAAAAGCCATGATGAGCACTTTACCTACCCATGTTAAGAGGTTTACAGTCTTGAGTATTATATATTAATTTCTGATATCTGTAATTTTCTGTTTTTGTTACTTTCTAATAAATAATTTATAACTGAAATTCCTCCTTGTGCTTTGTTTTGGGTGGTAAATTTCTGTATATTACCTTTCTTGTGTCGAGGAAATAAAAATTCAGAATTTTTTGATTAAAAGTTTAGGAAAGCAATTTTTGCCTCATAGTGGTTCTTTCCCACAACTTTTTAGAGTTACATTTAATATTTAACTAAAGTTAACATTTTCCTAAACGGAAAATGTATTTCCAATAGATACTTACCTCATCTCACAAAAAAGCTTTTCTTGATTGGTACTGCCATTATCAAATTACAATATCTACATGCTACTCCCGTGCATACCTTGTGAAATATTTTTATTATATTATTATTATTATTTATTTTACCTAATATAATCTTAACTAACCTAAAAAGATCCCTATTTTTACATTTTAATTACTCTTACAATAATAAATAAAGAATAAACATGAAAAACAAAAAAAATAAATTACTTACCAATCTTCTTTTTTCTTGCTGTCAATTGTTGATTATACTTAAGCCTACATATTTTTTTACTGATGGTAGTAGTGGATTAAATAATTTTTATTTAATTAAATAATGCACCAAAGAATATAGACTAATAACATGCAAAAAAGCAGACAATTTCCCCTAACTCAAAATATTTCTAGATTTCTAACTATACTACAAGAGCTATTACAAATTCATCCAAGCTAGTCCATGGGAATGAAGCTTGTACTCTGAGTGAAATTGACACTTTTCTGTTCAGAACACAACATTATACAATATACATCATTTGATAGATGAGAACCTTGATTTTCTATTGATTATAGGTAATATATAATTAAACGTAAAAGAGAACTATTAACAAAGCCTGAAAGAGAGGATGTAAAATGGTAGGTGTGGCAGAAGGGGTGTGATTTTCTATTTCTACCTCTGTAACAAAACAAAATTGAAGATTATGAAAATTGTGGTTGTTTGAGCAATGATGATTCTATAGAGAGTAATTTCCTTTTCATACTTTTTCAAGGGGTGGTGGATAAAATAGAGAAGACAAGATGCCTAGAGAAAAATATGTCACGGGTGTCACACTAGGGAAAATTCAAGATGGTTTTAATGTTGCTTTGTAGAATTAGGAACTTAAAACTTATATACAATTAAAATATGGATTATTAGCTACAATTTTATGCTATCCTAATTGTTATAACTTAAACAACAAGTAGCTTAATAAAATTTTGAATGTAAGACAGTAAAACTTTGTCATGCATAGTAAAGGATATCTGGGGTGAAAGGGTTAAAACATATATAATATTAAAATTGATTTATTAACTATGTTTTAATGACATGTTTATTCATATATAATGATAATAAAGTAGTTCCGATACGATATGTTATGTCCACTCACAAAATAGCTTTTTTTCTATTAGTACTGCCCTTTATCGGCACAAATTTTCCACGCATACCATTAGCCTTTCACTTGCTGCTACTGCATATCTACATGTTAATGATTATGCAGCAACTTTCCGTCAATAGGGGTGCAACACAACCCCTATCTTAACCAGTGCCCTCTCCACATTTGCACTCGATTGGCAGTAGTACTGTACAGACGTGCTTATTTTGCTTGCAAATTTGTCGACATTTTCCTATATATTATAGATTTAGTTCTCCTTTAGTATGGTTTTGTTATTTATTTATTTACAGGGATCTTTTTGCTAGTGTATTGTGGATTCCACGTTGTGGTGAGTGGTGCCTGACTAAGTATACTTTTTTTTTTTAATCCGTATTGTCCATCCTATGACCATGCTTGATATCATTTATGTTGTAGCTCTTGATGTACAATTCCAGATGCCACAAGGTGTTGGTTGTGTGTCTCCATTCAGTTGTTATCTATGTTGAAACAATTACATCACAGGATTAGGTTACCCACACTGTAGAGATGAGGTGTTCCATAGAACTGCTAGTAGTTCTCTCTATGGTTTTTTGGTTCATAAAAATATTTGTCCCAAACCATACACTCATGGACACGCATGAATAAAGCAGACAGGAATTGCTTCCCATCTCTGATGATCTGTGGCATTGAGAGTCTTCCTACCAGACTTGACATACAATTCCAGATGCCACTGGGTGTTAGTTGTTTGACTTCCTCAACATGGTAGCTCTGCTTTTCAAAATAGGGTATTGTAGTCACTCTTTGCACTGTCTCTGGGGGTGCAGTCCTCCAGACTCTCAAACTCTTTCCCATAGTGGAGAATTGAAGTCATTACCAATTCCTATCCATTGGGATGATGGACCATGGTGGCCTGTCATTCTGCGTGATGCATCGTGGCATTCTGTAGGTGTTGAATGCATACAGCACTTCCTGCTGCAGACCTGATGTACAATTCCAGATGCTGCAAAGTTTTGGTTGTAGTACTACAGCATATTATTATTATATATGTATATGTGGCAGATTGCTTTTTTCCACCATGGCATTCCTCTTTCCTATCATCCATTGAATGTATTGATGGAGTGATGCCTTTCCTACTGCAGACCTGATGTACAATTCCAGATACCACGAGGTTTTGGTTGAAGCATTCCGTGATGTCATGATTATATATATATATATTGCAGTCTGCTCTTCAGGCTGAGATGTTCTTTCTACCTACCATCCTCTGGATGCCTTTCCTGGGGGAGGGAAGGGTCTGAGTAAGTACTCGCGTGTTCTGGCTGGTATCCCTTCTTCTTTCACAGACCGAATGAAAAATGTCCAGTGCCACCAGGTTTTGGACTGGAGATGCACCCCAGGTTTGCAGTCCCTCTACCTACCATGTGCTGGATGTTGGTTTCTGGTGGATCTGGTGTTGGTTGTAGCTGGACACAGCACACATATTTCCCTTGTGTATGGCCAGGTATCCTCCTTCTACCATGGACTGGAAGAACCATACCCAATTCTACTGGGGTTTGAACCAGAAATGTCATCCCATCTGGGCTTTCATCCTCCTTGCCATTTGCTAGATGTCGATTTGTGGTGGATCAAGTGTTGATTGAGTTGGAAATGCATGCAAGTGGGGACAGCTTTTGATACGGAAGCTCGTCTTCTATACCAATCCCCGTTTTGAGGTGAAGAGGTAGATGTTTCTCTGCCTACTATGGAACTTATTGTACAATTTCAGATACTGCCAGTTGTTGGATGAGATCGAACTGCCACTCGACACCCAAGGGTCCCATTAATTGGTAATACATATTATGAGATTCCTTCATATTTTTCCACCTTTTATGTTCATGACACAGTCATAAAAGAGTGAATAGTATACCTGGATCAGATGTGCAGTCTCCCACTGAGTTGTGATATTTTCTTTTTTGGTTTGACACCTCATGGTCTTTCCTTGGGCACTTTCTAAAAGGAAATCATTTTTTCACCAGCCCTCCACCAGATCAGTGTGGGATTTTTAGCTATCTTGTGAATGGAGGTAAGATATCATATTGGAAGTTAACATTTTCCTAACCTGAAAATGTATTTTTGATAGATACTTACCTCCTCTTACATTTCCCACCCAGTCTCCCCACATCTGGTGATATGTGGTATAAGTCTTCTGACCAATCTTGAAGTGATTAACAAGTGCAAATGTGGAAAGGACTCTGGTTACATTAGGGGTTGTATCACACTCCTATTCTATTGGTGGAGAGCTGCTGCATAATCATTTACATGTGGATATGCTGAAGTGGGAGGTGGAAGGCTAGTGGCAAGCATTGATTATTTGTGCTGATAGTTGTAACATGAGCTGCACTTGCCTGAGTGATTTACAACTCATTATGGTGTGGATAGTGTTTAGACATGGTTCAAAGGGCAATAAAACAGTAAAATTTAATTATAAATAG